ATATCTGATCATTATGCAAATACAAAAAAATCGCTTCGCATGCATACGAATGACGCATTTTGAAATACTTCAATGATTTTTACAAAGTGCATACCAACCGTTGCAGAATGTAAGCATTGTATTTCATGGATTTAAATTTTAAAATTCTTGATTAAACATCACGGATATTAGATTGATGATATCAGAAGCGATTGATGATATCAAAACGCGTGATAAAAATTTTTGCAAAATACATTAAAACAGATATATTTTTCGATAAAATAACGTTCACAATTGATAAAACAAACTTAAAATATAATGAAATAAAATTTAAGATATATCGTAAAATATACCGAAAATTCTCCTTTTATTTAAGCAATTAATAAATAATCATATATAGAAAAATGAATTATATCTAATCAAGAGCCACAATTCAATTCTGGATATATGATTATTTATTGATCATCGAAGCAAATGTTGTTTTATCGAAAAATATTTATATATTTATTTATTTTAATATATTTTGCACGAATTTTAATCATGTATTTCTTTGCTTCTAAAATCATAATTTGAAATAACTGCGTGAGTCAACAGGAAACTTTAAGAATCGAATTGGTATAATCTCAACAAAAAAATAACGTACGTCAGAAATCAGAAATAGCATTTTAGAACGTTTAGCAAATATTTGCATTTTCTTAAAATTAATAATGATTTTAAATAAATTTAAAGTAAATAAACATTTTATAATATATAAATAAATATATAAATCTGCAAAACAAATAAAAATCCTGATTATTAATAATTAAAGCAAAGAAATATAACTGTAGATTTGGAGCGAAAGAGTCATGAATATTGTGTATGAAGTGCAATGAAGAAAGGCAATGACATAATAGAGATTATTCGCGGTCAGGCGAGTAACCTTTTTTTAATTGAGTTGACCCTAGTAGATGATTAAACAAATTGAAGAGGTCACGTAGATGTCGGAACGAGATCTCTCGTAGAGTTCACGGTGCCAAAAGATATTTCAAGAACATCAAGAATCGTCGAAAGACATTCTTGTTGTTTTTATTTCG